GTAATAGTGTACATAAGCTTAATTTGTTGCGATGTTGGAAAGTAAAACACAGTTAAATAAAAGTCGCAAGCATCAAATTCCAGCATCCCCGGTGAACATGTGATGAGGTAGCCAATCATACTCGCAGATTGATCTTTCCATTTAACACGATAACAAACAGTTCCAGCGAGTTCAGCAGTTCGACTGAAATCACATCTCAATGCGACTATATATAGCCATGGCTAAAGAAAATTTCAATGGCTTGCGTGACTAAAGTAAATCCTGTCGCCCAGGAAACTCGGTTAGCAACACCTAAATGAAAAAACAAGGAGTAACATGAAGTAAGGCATTTATCGGTACGTAAGCTTAAATTCTCGAGAGCTGTGCAGCACTTTCGAAGAAAGGAAGAAAACGACAGAGTGACTGAGAAGTGGAAAATAACTTAGACTTACCTTGAAAATTGGAAACCAACTCGCGACGGAAAGCTGTCCAAATTATTCGAAACAGGAAACACGACAACGACAACACAACATCCAATGATAGGCCCAGCAAGTTGTAGCAATGTGGCCGCCTTTACTTGAACGTTCAAACGACACTGCTTCCCATGCACACGAACGACGTGAACCAGCATTAGGGCGCCATTGCGCCCATGTACTTGGTGTTCGGCCTTCCCGATTTAATACGACAACAATACGAAATAACACTCGTGATGATTCATTTCTTCGGGAAATCCCATGGGACCTCCGAAGTTTTACACTCGGGATGGTTNTGTCCAAATTATTCGAAACAGGAAACACGGCAACGACAACACAACATCCAACGATAGGCCCAGCAAGTTGAAGCTATGTAGCCGCCTTTACTTGAACGCTCAAACGACACTGCTTCCCATACACACGAACGACGTGAACCAACATTAGAGCGCCATTGCGCCCATGTACCTGGTGTACGGCCTTTCCGATTTAATACGACAAAAATACGAAGTAACACTCGTGATGATTCATTTCTTCGGGAATCCCATGGGACCTCCGAAGTTTTACACTCGGGATGGTTTAACACGGAACCGTTTTCAACACAGTTGTTTAATGCGCATGCGCATTAAACACAAAAAACACTTCATCGCATGAAAAAACTACATCAGATTTCAACATAAATCACACAGTTTGAGCGTCGCGAACAAAAGGTATGGAATTGGATTGATTCAAGTCTAATGTTAATAATACATCACATCAAAAATAAAGACGGCATGAAAAATTAAAGAAATAAATAAAAAATAAAGATCAGCGACGACTGGTCGCGTAGCTGAGGATCAAAAAAAAGGTTTTATACACCCTTTTGCAAGCCATGGCGAGTCTAGCTATAGATTCCTCCAGCGGGGTAAATAGTGCAAGAAAAGCGAAAAGCGATTTTGCGCAACCATGTCTGGAAACTAAGAAGAGGATAACAAAACATTAAGATACAACGCAAGAACACATTAATAAAGTGCGTGGGATTGTGGAAACACAAGAGAGCATTGATGTCCATTCACATGGTTCCTTATTTCAGTACAATGAGCAGAAAAAGAATGGTTTGATAGCCTTGAAACGAGTCAAACTGCAAATTATTTTTACCGAGCTTATCAGTTAAACTGCTACAAGTGCTACCATTCTGGAGTCGTCCCAGTGAACGGGAAGAGCGACTAGTGCTAATTAAAATGATGCTACCAGTTTGCTACAGTAAACACTAGCTTTTGATTGCTTTTGTTCCCCTTTCAATCATGTTTGTTATTAGATCCACGACAACCTGGCGCAAAATGACGTTTCCTTTTAACAAAAAGAGAGATTCTGGCTAGCAGAAAATTACGAAGTGCTCGCAGTTCGCCATCTGTATTTTCTAAAGTGCTCGCTGTTCGCAAGATAAATTTGATCACTGCTCCTGCTCGTAAAAATAAACGCACTGCTTTCATGCTCGCAAAGAAAAAATCTGCGTCTAGTTCATCCTCCAAATCGTTGCATCTCAAACTAGCAACCAACGCCGTCACGTTTGTAATGCCTGAAGTTTGTAGGACGACTGCTACCCTTAAGGATGCCCCAAATCAAACATCTGCGTCGTCTGTAAGCGCACGGATCACCAAGCTTTTAGTTGCCTCCCATAACGGAAGTTATCTGCATGTTCCGCCTCGCCGCCGCGATTAAGCTTCTCGGCATTGACAATGCTTCCGACGGGCCATGTGTCAAACTTCAGACAGAGAAAACGTGGTATATGTCAAGTGAAACTGTCAAAAAAATTCTTGCCGGAATTGATCCAGCCACCAAACAATTTTGACGAACTCAGTAATAAAAAGAATGAAAGACAGAAATGTGAACAGAGCCTCCCTTTCTCCTTGTTTCAATCTTTTTCGCCTCTCCTCGACGAAACACATGCCCTAACATCCCTAAACAAGACCAAAAAATCGCCCCCTCCTCCTGGAGACTGTACGGCAAGCACCTGACATAATTAATTATGTATGCAATATCATTGCCTCTGCTGGCGCAATAATAATGAAAAAATCCACTTTGCTATGCATGTAGATTGAAAAAACAAAATAAATAGAGAAAATATATTACTTTTTCAAAGAATGTGAGGGTAAAGCGTCTCAGATGTTGGAAAAAGCTGTTCGCCTCTTTGTATCAGCTTTTGGTTTCCATCTGCAGCAGTTGTAAACAGGTATGCAGCTGTAACTGACGATCGCTACGAAGAAAGACAAAGGAATCATCTATTCTCAATATCTAAATGAGCTCCCGTTTGCAACCAAGAAGGTAAGAATGGAAAAAAGACTTCCTAAGAGTATTATTCAATCTCTTACGGTACAGGAGAAGTTTGCATAGTCCAAACTGCGACATCTATCAGCCTAAAATGTAAATTAGACCGGGAGAGATAAAAATCACCTCTGCAAGTCCCTGTTGTCGGCTTAATTATTTTGCTCTACGGATCTTCGCTTTAGAAAAGTTACGAAGCTTACATTCTAAGAATCAAGTGGTAAAACAGTTTATTACATGATAAAACCGAAAAGAATAATAATTCTAGATGTAGTTTATCGAAGTATTATCTGTTCATTTTGTTCACTAAGAATTTTGACGAAATGTCGATCAATTTAAATTCGGGATCGTATACGGTATAGATTGTAGTTGAAGTTGAATTTTACTGCGTTTAAAAGATGGCGGAATCCTTGGTTTTTGCGAGTGAAGGTACCAAACCTACGAAATAAATTGGCTTCTACATGTATAATGATGATCTCGGCGGAGTCTCGCCATTTGAATTTTTCATTGAAACAACATAACATTTTGCTAGTAAAGCTTGCAAGCTGACTTTGTTGGCATCAAACCAAAGTTTATGACCTGTCTAAAATCCTACTTGTCAATTTTGCGAAGTAAAGGAAATTCTCAGGACCAAGCGTAGACAAGTACGTCGCTATCCGTGCAGATGCTTTCCTTTTTTATTTATTTTTAGCAAATATTTTGAAACTTGATATTGGGACGTGTTTTTTATTGTAATCTTTCTGTTTCCTGGGGATAGTCTTATCTGATTGCCAATCTTTTAGACGCAAAAGATGTATCAAAAAAGAGGACCTTGCTGAAGTTATAATTAAATATAGTTATTGCCTGACTTTACCACCTCAATCAGCTCTAACGACCAAAAATTTAAAATTAAAATTATTTGAAAAATCAAAAAAGTTAATTACGAACCGCAAAATGTTGATGGCACACAAAATTGAACACATGTTCGCAGCGAAACAACTTTATCTTACAACTTTACCTTGCAGTAAAATTAACAGATCTGCCAGTTTTGAGACTTGCTCCAATGCAGGGCAAGGGCTAATAGAGTTTGGTAAATGTCAACGAAATTTGGCAAGACTAAAAATTGTAAAATTGTAAGTGGAATTGATGACGGTATTTTTTGCAATATAAACAAAATTCGATTAGTGCGGATGGGTCCTAACATTTATCGTTCGCTGTTTGAACAGAATTAATAAACAGCGAGTAAGGGCATTGAGGTGTCCTCCACGTGTTTGTCAAGCAAGTTCACAGCTTTAGTCCTGCTGTGGTTTAAAGAATGGAACTCGGCCCCCTGGAGCTCGGCAGGCACTTGCTTCTTTTGGGGATAATAGTGTTTACAACAAATGCTTCCAAGGGTAAATATAACGTTATTACTTTCTGTTTACTTTTTCAAATAATCACATAAACAAGATATAAAATATATAAAATAAATAAGACAAATAATTTTAATAATTTTAAAATAATTCATATAGCTGGAATATTTGACCTTTTCTTTTGATATCCCGGAATGGGTATTCCTATATGAAGGGTATGTTCAACGTGCCCTTACATTCTCTGGAATAGCGTCCCCATACATGCTCCGTATAAAGGAAGCAAATATCGTTTTCTAGCTTGACTAGCGGAGCCATAAATCTGAAATTGAGCAGACATCATCAAATATAAAAGATCAAATTTAAAACATATCGCCTTAGTCGGGTTTACCCTGGGCGATTTTTGTTTTCGTTGATGAACCTGGAGAGGTACTAGCGCTGTGTGTGCCCTCCTCCTCGTATCTACTAGGATCTTTATAACTTATATGCTGTGTTAAGGGTTCAAACTTGTTTGTTACAGTGAGAATCACGTGTCAGTCATGACATCAGAAATGCCACAATGACGTCACACATTTCAAAATTTCCGCCATCCTGGATCTGTCACGAAAAATTTCAAAATTTTGGAAACGAGTCAGAAGAGCTCCACAATTCCTTTCAGTGAATCAGGAAATATATAACAATACAAGAGGCCTCCTTGTGCATATTATCCGTTGATATTTGAATCAGTTGGGTCACTAAACAACTGGAGTTTAGTCCAAAGTGCGAGTGTATACACGAATTAATCGACCTCCAAAATCAAGGATAGAATTTATCTTGTCATTGCTTATTACATTAAGGAGATGGAACTGTGTGTGATATGGGGGGGGGGGGGGGGGGGGGGGGGGGTGGGGGGACTCCCATGTGAAAAGGTCGGGGATTCTTGTCGTCTTTCTTAGCGGTGTAAATCAAAGATTCTGGTCTCACTTATGGTGTTCATGACAAACACCACTATTTTTAGCTGTCAAAGTATCTTNGGGGGGGGGGGGAGGTGTCGTCACTTTTCAATGACATTAATGAAGAGAGGAAGTTGCAATGCAGCGACCTCCACCTCATTTGCCTTCAAATATAAATCAAAAGGTAAACTAACTTCGTTGGTAATTAGGGAACCCAATAACTTGAGCATTCCATGACATAACACCTTAAAAGTTGCTAGGGAATCTACTGCCCTGTTATTTATGGTATTTATCCACAAACTATCAATACAGTAGAATGTTTTATTCAGTCTTGTTCTCATAGTCAACACTTTTCTTATTTTCTCATGTTCCTGTGCATCTTAATTTTATTTACATCTGTTAAATGGACAATGATTGAAGTTGTTGATGTACGTGGTAAAACTCTCAGCCGAGACACAGATAAAGGAATGGCTTACGCCAGATTTAAGGCTCACAAATTCTCCCTCCTCAACATCACCAACATTGGTTCGGATTATGTTCTCAAAGGTAGCGAGTGTGGGCTTGCTTGTGTTAACATGCCGTCATGTTTCTCCTTTAACCTGGCTTCATTCTCCGATATCGTCAACGGGAAAATCTTATGTGAGCTGCTCCCATCCGACAGATACAACAACTCCGCAAAACACGTTGGCAGCAAGTTATTTCAGCATTATAGCATCCTGGTAAGGCAAAATTTGAATATTCATGAGTAACACATTTGTTACACATTTATTGTTGTCGTTTGAATTTCTTGTTTTTGCTTTTGTGTTTTTTTGTTTATTGAGGCCGAAGTTAGGGAAATTTTTAAGAATATGCTATAAATATACCCCATGCTGACTTTTCAAAGAACATTTTTGCAAGGTTATGCTGCTGATGATATGGTAAGTCATCAAGACGTGTAAGGCAGTTACACTTCGGCGGTGTCTACGTAACGAAATTTGAAAATGTAGCTTTTTTCTACCATCCACACTAATCCGTCACGAATTTTAAGTTGGAGCTTTTCGTGAGCGCTCTTCATTCTGGAGGAATTTTAAAACGCGGGCTTTTCGTTTTCGTGTGGATGGAAAACATTGTGAAAACAGAGCTGTTCGAAAACGATGGTGTCAAGATAATCAGTTGACATCTCTGCCTCAGTTTTCCTCAAACACGATTCCAAAATAACTGCAGTAATAGTTACGTTTTTATTTTCCTCCGGCTAAGTGTGGACGGAAAACAATTGTTGCGTTTTCAGGGAAATTAAAAACGCCACCGTTTTCAAATTCATCCAGCGTAGTGTGGATGGGCCCTTTGTTTCTCCTATCATTAGAATTCTTCTTTCGATTCATTTGTTCTCCAGATCTGAAGTGGGTGACAGATTTAATCGCCTTCTATACTATAGACCTTCAGGAGTAGTTATGGGACATTTATTTAACTTTTTCTTACAGGGAAGACCTTGGATGTGCGAACTTTTAATGATTGGTTTGGAAATATCTATCGAAGGACTTTGAAAATGTTGATGCAGCCCAGAGTTGGTTGAAATTATTCAGGCGTAACAATATAATATACGTGTCAAAAACATTTGCAGCGCAGAATCAAATACTATTGTATTTTTTAATTATTATTATTATTATTATTTCAGTCTCCATGTATCAGCTGGCCTTGTCAGAACAATGGAACTTGTGTTGCACTTTACGAGAAGAACAGCTATATGTGCGTATGTGCCAAGGGATTTACAGGGAAATATTGTGAAACAGGTATGGAACGGGTACTAGCACCTCATTTCTTGTGATCGAAAACAATCAGATTATATATCTGTCCGATGTTCCAAAAACATGCCCACAGATTTGAACCCCTCCATTCATGTAACCGGTGACTTTGTTTTTGTTTTTTTGTTTTTTATTTTTTTGTTTTTTGTTCTTTTTTGTTTGTTTGTTTGTTTGTTTGTTTTTTTTGTTTTGTTTTTTGTTTTCTGTTTTTGTTTTCTGTTTTTTTGTGTGTGTTTGTTTGTTTGTTTGTTGTTTTTTTTTTGTAGGCTTTTGCACTGTGGTGATAATGTTGTGCTTGCTTTAGACAGCAAAAAGCTTTGGCCACATCAATTTAGGGCTTAGACGTGCAATGGACTAGACATTTCTAGCTTCTGTTGGCGATATTTGGTCTGAGCTTTGATGTGGCTAAAGACTCAAAAAAAAAATCTGTTGAAGTCTGGATATGGTATTTCCCGCTCGATGAAATTCAAGTAAATCCGGGACATCGGTATTTGCGACCAAAACATGGGTACGAACGGAGTGAAGAACATTAGGTCAAGCGCTGATCGCGAGTAGAAATTCCTCGTTTTGTCAATTAGGCGTTCTCGGCCTAGCTAATTAACCATCAGAACTGTCTGTGATTCGCTAGCGAGGAAGAAATTTATTTGCGTGGCTTCCGGTCGATAATTGACGTAGCGACAACATTTTGAGTGTTCACTTACTCTTAATTATGGCCTAGTTTGTTTGAAGTTCAATCGATTCTCGATGTAGGAAACTCTGGTTCAGTCCATTTAGGACGATGTAGGCCTTCAGAAAGCTATAGATCAGCTCTCCGCCGCGGTTTTGATATCTGGACGTTCGTTTTGAATTAGACTCCAATTTCATGTTAAAAGCACTCTTAATTGAATTGTACTATTCACGATTCAACGAAAAGACGGTGAATTTAGTCTTCCTAGCCTCAAAAGGCACACAGTAGAGTTATTTCCTTTTATTTGAGCTAAGGTAAGCCTTGTGGAAAGCTAGCTCTAGGAGAGAATTGTATCAAGATTATCAGTGACAAGTCAAATTGTGTGGCTATGTTTTTCCGAATCCAAAAAGATATGTATTCTTTGTATTGAGCTCAACTAGTTGCCAATATTTAACAATATTATTCACCTCAGGCTCCTTGAACATGGGTTAATATACCTACACGAGAAGAGTAACCTCAAAATTACAGACTGAAACAACCTGGATATGGTTAATAGTTTCAGTTAATTAAGTGTTTACATTTAGAGTGGCCGTAGTGTAATCTTTGAACTATCACTCCTAAGGGGAATTGGTTCTGTTTTATATACTGTTTGTAACTTTTAACTTAAGCGGGGCAGCTGACGTTGTTATCTATCACCCTTCTCAGAGCATACCTCTTACTAAACGAGTTCAAGGTCCGTACTGTAAGTTGCGGGCCGAGATTTCGCCCCCTTTGATTTGTGACCAAAACGCGAAGTGCGCGGCCCACGAATCAAATGGAAAACAAAAACAATCCCTGACTTATAGCACGGACCGAGAAGACGAGGCTAGTAAGCTGTTTATTGAATTCTCTCTCTCTCTCTCTCTCTCTCTCTCTCTCTCTCTCTCTCTCTCTCTCTCT